TCCAAGATAAAAGGGATTGTTGTAGTATATGAAAACACAGAAGCAACATGACTGTGTTTTTAAGGCTTCAGTGTTTCCAGTATAATGGCAGGAAGAGGTAACTTTAAACCTCCATGCAGCAGTATCCCTAGATTTTACTTTTTGTACTCTGAACAATATGGAAAAGTTCTGTTTGCTTATTCTTGCTGAATCTTGCTTGCTTGCATTACTGTAGACAAGAATTAACTACCTACTCCCATGATTTTATGGTTTTGGTCATTTCAGTGACACAACTTACATGCTGGCTGTACATCTCTCTTAGATCTTCCACAGATGAGGCTTCACTTAAAGAGACTAAAAGGTTTTTACAGTGCCTTGTGAGCCAGTACATCACTATTTCTGAAGCTCTTCTGCAGACAGAACTCCCTTTGAAGTCAATGGGAGTTCTGTCTGAATAAGGACTTCAGGATTTGGGCCTCAGGATATAAATGCTGTGATCAATCTTTTGAGCATAATGAATAACATTTTCTTGGCTTTCAGTACTATACTAACCCAAATAGTAGCCCCAGGGATTCAAAATGGGTTAAACAGGAGAATCTGCCTTGTTTCAACTTACATCTTTATTTAGCTTTTAAATCAACATAGTCCCCATGCCTAGTACTGACCTGCCTGAAAAAAACCTTCGACAACAAGATCAGGTGTCTCAATAGTTAGTTTTACAATTACACCTATCATGGTATGAGACATTATGAAACAGAGTTGTGTTCAATGAAAAACAAACATACTTGCAGTAGATTGACCTGTTTAGAAGTTGAGACCTGAATGTACAGTCTGGAACAAAAGACTTGAAGGCTGAGAACTTTATTAATTATGTGACAGGGAGGTCTGTAGGCACCGATTTTGATCAGAACATCATAGTACCGCACACTGTGCAAACATCAGAATCAGTGATACAAAAAGCCAACAGTTCAGGTAGGCAAGACAGATACTCCCCATCTCCTATTCCTTATAATTACTCTGACTTTATAGATGGAAAGTTCAGCCAGGGAGAGATTATGTAACTTACTCAATACCTCTCACAGTCTGAAATGAAACCTGACAGCCAACCTGGTGCCTTACTGTCAAGACTACACTCCCCCTTTTACACAATGGCAACGGTATATTACAGGACTTTGAAAATCATAGCTCCCCATCCCCGTCCCAGCCTTGGCTGAACTCCAGCATCCCCAGGCACTTTCCCCACTGAAATCAAAGGCCTAGGTTCTTCCAGTTACCTGTGACAGGAGTTCTGCCAGTGCTGATTGCAGTGGTGGTGAGTCTAGATCCAGTGACAGATGACACCCAGATGTGGACAACTGCCAGAGCAAGCAGCAGGGCACCAGCAGTATGAGGCACAGCAAAACTCTCTTGCATTTTCAGCCCTCACAGGTTATCATGCAACTGGATTAATGAAACAAGGTATAAGAGAACCAGGAGGAAAGAGACTGAAACAAGAGAAAGAGTGAAAAATATTGCGAATTCTTGTTGCCTGAACATTTCACAGGCTCTTACCTCTGTGAAAACATGGGTGGAGGTGCACAGGTGAACAGCCCAGTTCCTTCCCTGGAGTCCCAAGTCTGATGCTGACCCTTAAGCATTTTGGTGGAGGAAGTCCTGCAACTTCTGTTTCTGCCCACAGTCAGCAGAGAGTCTAAAAGAACTGTAAATACCATGTTGGTATGCATTGCAACAGGAAAATGCTGAAGCCTTCAGGTGTGAACATATATGGGACTATCACTAGCAAACAGAAAATTGTTTTGCAACTCCAAAGCTGATGAGGAAAACATAAAAAGCAATGTATTACCTGCAATACAAGCATCGGGACTCCCAAGGACAAGTTCAGCAGCTGGAAGAATTTCTCCACAGTATCAATAAGACTGAGGAGAAGGTCTCCACTATGTACCAGATATTCCCTGACACAGCTGAACCTACTTAAACTTTTAAACAAGTAAAGTCTTGTCCTGTCTACAACTTACAGCAGTGATGTAAACAGCCTGCCGATTCAATTGTATTTGTAGATGGTTTCCAGGGTTTGCTTCTTTAATTTCTTCTTTTTCTTTTGTTTTCTTTTTTACATCTGGGCAATGAGTTCCCTTCCCTCTCCCTCCTTCAACTAGGTCAAAACCCCTCTGACTTGCCCGGTTTCTTCAAAGCCTTGGCTCTGATTCCCTGTGTGGATTTAGTCCAGGTGCTAGGCTAGTTCCTCCCTAGAGGCTTCCCATGCAATCCACTCCCTTGTCTTGGTTCCTGATCTTGAGGGAAGAGGCGAAACAGCCAGCAAGGAGAGGCATGTAGCAAGAGACAGCTCAAGACCACTCAGCAGTTCAATCTGTCCACCTCAAAGATGAGGACAAAGGAATGTATTCTTCCCTTCAAGTTTAGAAAGAATGAGAGTTTTTTAGTTATAGCGAAATGGTTCCCTGAGTCTCCCCTCCTCTCCCTAGGGTCTGGGACCCTGCTCACCCCCAGGGAGCACAGAGATGCAGGGGGCTCAGAGAGCCCATCCCAGGGAGCTTCGGAGAGCCCCCTTCTGCAGCCCACCACCACCGTGGGGAGGCGGGTGGGCAAGGCATGGGCTGGCAAGTCATGAAAGACAAGGGCAAGGGAACAGTTGTGTGCAGCACTGCTCAACTGCTTCTGGGGCGACCCATGGGGCAGCTCCTTCTCAGGCCGGTCAGATCACAGCTACGTGATCCTAGCTGGCAGGGAGCACTCAGCTTTTAGGATCCTACAGAAGCTGAGATTGGTTCTTGACACCTCCTTCACCCCCAATTTGGAAACTCTCTAGGCAGTGGAATTTGGTTGCTTATGCCCAAAGGGAAGACCGCAACTCGCTTTTATCGGTCCTATTTGCATGGGTCTTTCTTGGGGTCAGGTATAAGAAGACAGGGCTGGATGAGTTACTGTGTGATAAATTCAGATACAAGCCTGCTTTTTACTTGCCAGAATAACCTCTTTCCTTGCATTTGAGGACTACAGGATAAAAAACTCTATGTATCATCATAGGATATATGTTGAGATCCTACCTGCACTATGAATTGTAACTGTGTTGTACATGGGCATCTTGATTTGATACAGCAGTGGTTGAGGTGACCTCTGAGGTAGCGCCACTAGAAACAAATTGTAATCTCCCTGGAGCACTGCAAGCTATGAAATGGTTCCCTGAAATAAGCATCTTCCTGCTGACATCCAAGATGAGGCTGACAGTGGCTCCAAGACTGCAGAATATGAATGAAACTTACATTCATGCTAGCCGTGTTAGAAATCCAGTAGAACACACTGTCTATCAAATGGAAAAAGGATTCATCTAGGGAAAATAATTTCCAAAGAGAGACTGAAGAAGACTAATAGATATATATGTTCTTAATGGGCCGTTGTTGCTCTTGTTTTAATCTTCAGAAACCTGTATCTTCACACATTATAACTCTGATGATTACCTTTGTTTTTCATTCTTACTGACAAAGAAATACACAGTAAAGGTATTGGCAAGAGTGCATTGCAGTCTTAGAGCCAGTGCAACAGTGGTTCTCAGCTGGAAATGCAGCTTAGAACTAGGCAAATGTTGTTTACCTGCATTAACTCTTTGTTGCCTTACAGTTTAAGAAAATATCAGGGAAAGACAACTTGGGTTAGAGAAGTAAAAAGAGAATTAAAAAACAGTCTCTTTCAGGTTGCTTCTATCACCACATTTAGATCGTACTAATCTCTCCTCTGTGAGGCATAGCAGCTCCCTTGCAGCTACGTATGAAAACAGCTCCTCTGAGCTTCCAGCTCAAGTGAAACAAATGGGTAGAGCAAAAGACCTGACATGAGGAGCCCTGCACTCTCTTCTCAGCTCTGCCACTAGAAGGGCATGACAGGGGATGAGGCATTTAATGCCTCTGTGTGTCACTCTTCTCCAGATTTCATCAGCTGATGAAGTCTGTTGATGACACAAACAGAGCTGGGATACGCAGTTAAGACAAAGGAGTGGTAGGACACTGTACAGGAGGAAACCAGACTTGATAGAGAGTAGAAAACCAGAAATGGGGTGGAAGGTGTGGAACACAAAGTGTAAGATGGTGCCCTTGAGGACCAGACCACAGAATCTTTTCCGACAAGCTGAGATCTCACCAGTTGAGGGCAACCGCTGGCCACTTGTTAGAAGATGATGTACAAGGCAAGAACTCAAGGGGAAAGAACGGGAACTCAAGTTAAAGGACAACAGCACAGTAACAGTCAAAAAAATGATTAAGCTAGAAATGAGAAGAGCGGTGAGGTCTGTGGCGGCCTTCTAGCAAGGATAGTCGAGACACATATTCTACGCTAACATCTTTCAAAAAATGGCGTTTCATCAGTTTATGAAAATCACATTCCAGTCCCATGATCCTAAGTTTTGAACAGTCTAAGCTCCCGACTTTCAAACTGGTTATGAAAGGGGAACTGTTTATTGCCTATAGTAACAGAAATGTTCTCAAGGATTACTTTGTAAATTTGACTATGGCAATGGTTTGAGTTCTACCTGCATATTTAAAATGGAAGCAAAATGCCATGTGCCAGTGGATGAGTAACATAAAATGGAACTAACTGGTCCAGTTTTAATTGCCTATTGTAAACAAAACACAAGTATTTGACAAAAACCAGAAACTGTAGAAAGTTCATTTGATCTATTATATTATTTCAAAAGGAGTAACTTACCTAAAGACTTATTAGTTAAACACAAACAGGGATTACATTTAAGTATCTTAGTAGCATGCCTTCACAATTTTAGTCATCTTAAGGTACTCACTTACCTACTTATTACCCACTTTCACAGGTCTCATTTTCCATTAGTTTTTCAGAAGCAATTGTAAAGTCATTTCTTGACTCCATTAACATTATTTTTCCTGTTATTTCCAAACCAAATTCCATGATTTCTTTTCCAGACGTTACACAGTATTTCTGTCAAGAGCTCTTTTTCCAGGTGTGAATATTTTTCAGTATGTATACAGAACCCAAGAAAATACAGCTACACAGATTTTATTTTAATTTTAAGCACAAATTCACAAGGTGAGCTTTGTTATACTTTAAAATACATACTTCGACTAACTGCCAAGCTACATGGTAGTTACCAAAAGGTATCTCAATCACTAAAGGGGAAGATCTTAAGTATCATCTACTATCATCATTGAAATGTAGTCCCTGTAGCGAACAGCATTTGTTTCTGGATCTAGAGCAGTGGAAAGCATGTCTTCCATTTCTTCCTGAGTAAAGGGCTCACCTGAAAGACAGCAGAGACACTTTGTCTTGATAAGTATTCTTTTCAGGGCTGGCAAATCACACTGCTTTTCCCTTGCAAGGATCTCTTTTTGGTCGTCACACAGAAGAGAAAAGGAGCAATACTAAGGATCTGATTCCTTCACTTTTGCTAACGTAAGTCCTCCACACCAAGCAAGCCGGTCTAATGGAAAGGAGACAGAGGGCCAGCATCTTCTGATCTCCTTCTAGGTCACAGACTCCAAAACAGCCTGCTCTTCTCTGTCACAGGGATTTTGAAACAACCATTTTTGTCAGAATTAATTCTTCTAATGTGTACATTAGAATTATCATCTCTCATCTGGTTATCCTTGCACTTGTATTTGCATCATGACAGGCTTTTGTTTTTTCTCTTTTAGGAGCTTCAAAGCTGCTGATGGCCTACTTCATCCCTCTTTGAGAAGAAGGTTCCCATCTGAGGATAGGTCTTGCACAAAGCCTGCACATCATTTTGTACTTGAGGCCCACAGGCATGAGTCAGCCATGCAAGAAAAGCAGGATCTTCAAGGGATACTGAGGATTACATGATATACAACTTAAATCTGGTCTTTGAATCTCTTTGTTTGCGTATGGCACTAGAATTAAGATCAAGATAATGTGGGAATGAATGAGCACTGAAACTACCTGAAACATCTGGAAATCTAAACTACAATTTTACAGGACAGAAAGAGTCATATCCTTAAGAAGCACAGAGATGTGCACAGAATCATAAAATATCCACACAAGATTGAATTATGTCTCTTAGTAATAATAATCTCTATCTTATAATGTCTGCAAGCAGGTAGATAAATGTTCTTTCCCCACATTATTCATCAGTGAAATGTTCTAGTCTGAAGCCACTCACCACCGCAACAGTATTGTTTGAAGACAATATATCTACTCCTGCAGGTTTTGGCATGCAGAATGAGGACTTCAAGGTGCCATATACACATGTAACATTTATTTACTTAAATACTGATATTACAAAAGTCATGTTACCTTCTTCAGTCAAGTATTTGACCAGCTCCTCTTTAGTAATATATCCACATTTATTTTCATCCAAAGCCTTTAAAGAAAAAGAATGAAGCTTGTGGTTTTAGCCATACTGAATCAAGAACCAGCAACTTCTTTCCAGCAATTAGGTACTTGAATATTTAGTTACAGACCTCAAATGCGTGTAGAAGAACAGCTTCTGGAATAGGCTGGTAGCTGAAACCATCGAATCAAAAAAATTAAGTCACTGTTTGTCAGGCTGCTGTACTATTCTGAAAGAATAAAATATGAGTACTAAAGGAAAGGGAAAACATATTTTCTTTGAGAATTTACTAAGTTTGTCTATCAAACACTTAATTCCAGCTTGACTTTTTGGAATTGTGCATATCTTTACTTATTAAGTCTTTTATTTTACTCTTGTTTAATTTTCTTTGTGCTAAGGAGCCAGATAGAATGGCTTCTGCATGTCTGGGCTGGCTGATTGGGTTAGGAGGAATCAGTAACAGCTGAATCATTCCATGTAGCCAATGCACTGAACAGAAGATGGCCAAACCAAGAAAACAAAGTTTTGTCCAGGTACGCTGGTAGCTAGGCAACAGATCATCTAGCAGGACTTTGACACTCTAACGAGCTGATGATGAGCAACAGAGGCTGGTAGCTATAAAAGAAAAGGTCTGTCACTAACAGTTTCAGAGAGACAGGAGAATTGAGCACGTGTGTGCGTGCCTATGTGTGCCTGATTTCAGAGATGGAAAGGAAGCTCTCTGCTGCAATGGAGACCTTCCATATCCCAGCAGACTCTCACCAACCCCCAAGAATACTAAAGAGAAGATGCTGAAGCCAGGGAGGTTCTAACTGCTTGATTGTTTCGTTCAGACCTGCCTCACTCTTTCACTATCTAAAAATCAAATGTGCTAAGAAGAGGCCTTGTTTTTTGTGATCCAAATCTCATGTGCCCGTGGATAAGTAAACTATGGACATAGTGCCCCAAAAGATAAAGTGGGTTTTGACAAGCCTGCACTATCCTGGTGGAGTGTGTTGGGTGGTTTTTGTGTGTGTGTGTGTACGTTTGCATGGAGGGAGTGTGGATGTGGAGAGCCCAGAGCAGTAAGGTATCATTTTGTGAAAGGGCAAACATCAGTGTGGAGCCAGGAAAGTGCCATGAAGGCCAGAGAAGGCAAAGGCACAGGAATCTGGGAAGGCAAGACACCTGCGCCAGCACACTGGGACCCAAATGCTGCCGGAAGCTCCACATCCAGGCACGGGCATAAAGACTCTCAAACACAGCCCCAAGGCAGACCTCGCTGCCTCTGGATGCTGCAAGACAGTTTTGGGATATCCTATAGCTATTTCATGTGTAGAACACCCTCTGACCAAAGTCCCTCTGTGTGCAGAATAACTTCTCAGGATTGGACAAGACTGAGTATACCAAAACCGTTGGCTACCATCTTTAAAAAGAAGGATAAATTCCCTGGAAGCAATCTTGCTTTTAGTGCAAAATATCAAAACAGCACAAGTTCCTGTGCACACGCAAAGATTTCTATGTACCTTTGAATAATGAACAGCATTTTTGTTCTAGGCTTTTAGACTGACAGTCTTTTCGAGTGCTAGTTGCACACATTCAGCTGTACCTGGCAGTCATTTTGAGACATGCATATGAAGCTGATTTATACAACTTATTAAAAATACACTGTAACAGACTATACTTCTCAGTAACTGTAACTCATGTTCATAGAAAGTAATGACCTTAATTTGCATATAAAATATTTCAGAGGTGCACTAAACATGTTGAATAGCAAGTTAATTCTGATTCATATTAAAAATACAAAAGCAACGCATTATCACAATTCATGATTATTTATATCATCCGTACAACACAATTTTATGTAGACAAAGTAATTTTGAAACAAAATCTATCAAGTTAATGTAGACTGAGTTTAAATAACAAAAAAAACCCTGAACTTCTTCCAGTTACATAAAATTACTGTAGATATATTTATTCAGAATCAACCCTGTCAATCTGGAATAAACTACAGACACAGAAAATCCACTTTCCATTACCTTCTGTCGAGTAGTACTTTTGTCATCACTGGGAGAAATTTTTCCAGATGAATGTATCCAGTCGGCTCTTCTTCTTCTACCTAAAAATAAAACTTTAGTGTGGCAGGTTATACGACTCATTAGCAAACTAATACGAAAACCAGAAAATTGGGGTAGTTCCTGCATTAAAATTACAGTTAAACTTTGAATATTTGTATCATGTTTTTAATATCACATGGCACCATAACATCTGAGTGAAATGCCTGTGATCAAACAGAAAGAAATTTGAGGAAGAAATAATATCCCAGGCAAAATGCAGGCCTGCTATTATAGACACTTTCAGCAACTCAATATTGCCCTCTTGTGCTTAGAAACCATTCATGCAAAGGAACTGGATGCCTAGTAACTGATCTTATCTCCCACAATAACTCACCAGAGGTTTAAACATTCAGACTGCATTCATACTAGTGAAGTCTAGCAGGACCTGGAACATGCCCAAGCAGTGTAATGTGACCGCCCTTAACGGCAAACCATTAGCACGTTCCCTGGCATGATTTTGGCCTGTGCCACCTAACGCTCCCCCCCGCAGCCACCAGACCTGGCTAGGGCCTTAGGGACTTTTCTCCAGCAGGCTGCTTTGTGCAGCCACTCCGCATAAAACATTTACCAGAGTAGACATAAGCTGCTCTGTGCCAGCTAGCTTCAACACCCAAGGATGTTTCTGGGCACATTTAATGTGCTAGTTTGGACATAGCCCCAGTCTAGTACACCTCAAGGATGGAATTTGTTGCCTCCACATGTTTCGTAGCCAGAGAGAGTCATCAGGGGAAGGACCAGAAAGGCAGGCAGACTGAGCCAGGGCAGTCTGAAACAGTCATAAGGCAGCCTATAATATGCCACACAAAGAAAAGCTTTCTTTTGCCTCCCAAATAAATTAACAGATCAGTCCCAAAACATCAGGGACTTACCAGCATTCTCACTGCATTCCTACACTTCCACAGGATATAAGCAATGTGGTAAAAACTGCTCCCTGTCACCCCAGTACATCCCTTCCCTGAAAATTTCAAGTTTTACTCCCAAAAGGAGCCCTCTCAATGGAGCTAGTTTGTTCCTGTCTGTGCTGAAAGTGGATGCATGCTTTGTGGTCTCACATGGCCACAGTAGCACCTGGCTAGGCTCTCCACAAACAGAGCTCAGATTGAAAGAAGGCTCAAATAGGAACTGATTTGAAACCTCCTAACGGAGTGAGGAAAAGGTGAAGTAAGAAATCTTCCTCTTGAAAGTGGGGTCAGAGCTGGTGGTGATGTCTGATACATCCAGCTGCTTAAACGGTGAGTTGCAACTGCTGCTGCGTGTTCTTTTCCAATGCTCTTGAAGGGTTTTGGTTGCTAAAAGCAGGCAGCCTTCACCTCTTGCTGCTTTAGAGTGGAAATTGGCTTGAAAAAGCACTTTTTCACTTCTGTTTGGTGAGCCTCGTGGAAAGTGTCTTTAGCAAGGAAATGAAGCCGTTGCATGCTAACTCAAATGGTACCTTTTATCATTACAGAATAATTTGTTTTACTGCTTGACTGAAAAGATGTAACAAAATACCTGGCAAAACTTAACAACTTATCAGTGACATAACAGTTAGCCAATACACTGAACTATTCCATGCATCACAAATATTGAGATGTAAAAGTACACAGGATGTTTTAGGGAACATCTGTGCTTCAACCAGTATTAGATTAGAAGTCCAGAGAGACGGAAAGAAATATGGTAGCTATCTATTGGACATAGGTAGGTGGGTCTTAACATTAAACAAAACAATCAAAAGCAAGGACCCATAACATCCATGAAGATGGTAAGTTATATAAACCATGTTCAAGAGACAAAAAACATTAGATCATCCAAACAGTTGAGGGTCATCCTGATTTTCATATCAGAAAAACTCGCCAGCAATGACCACTTCAGAGCTCAAAGTAACAAATACCTGTGAAAATGTAAGCTCTCATTGACAAATATCAACCAGATTTGCCTCTTTTTTGTTGGTGTGCTATTTGTACCTTGCCTTCAGAAAGCAATCTGTGGAAGAAACATGTCCTTCCTGACAATGGACCTAGTCCTGAGAGGTGATGAGCAATCTCGGCTTCCTCTGACCTGGAAAGAACAGCTTCTATTTCAGTGGCTTTACAGGCCCAGCAATACCTTGAACTGTTAAAATTAATCCTATTTCTAATATTGAATAGATATGAAAATAAATTGAATATATTAACCTCACATAAGTTAGTAAGTATTCAGATTTGCAGGTATACGTATCCTCTTACTCTTCCTCACACTCACTGCTGTTGTACACCTCATTTCCTACTGACGTTTTTCCTTTTTCTGTAATCCTTCCCTTTCACACAGTGACTGTGACAATAACACTATTTGCTTGTTCAAACTCAGTGAGTTTCCCTACTGCTTTCCTTTGGGTACCTCCACAGCTCCCATGACAACTGTATTGTAGCACCCATTATGCTTCATACCTCTACTCTCACAGCCATATTATTATTGTTCACATAACATTTGGGGACTTGAGTCACAAAGATACAAACCATCTTCCAGAGTTATCCAGATCTGTGGTGCAGCAGTGCACTGAACCTGGGATTTCAAACTCCCGGCATTGTAGTAACCCTTGGATTAGCTTTCACCATCTCTAGACTTACCATTTAATCTTAACTTTCTAATTATACCTAAAGATATGATATTATGTATAACATTTAGCATAAGGCAATATAGGAAACAGTATATGACAATTTTTAGAGATAAAATAATTATATGAATGCTGATTTGGCAGATACAAATAATTCGAAGGCAACATATGCTAGTTTAGCTACAATAAAGGCTAATAGGAAGATGAAATGACTGAGAGACACAAGTAGTGAGAAACAGAAATGAATCACAACTTGCAATGGGCAAAAATACTGGAGAAATAGCCTGGTTACAAACCAGCCAATAGACTCAATTTTTATTTTATCTAGATTAAGATAAAATGCTATCACTATAGACAATGATAATGGTATCTTACATAGATTAAGACATATTTGTGTTCAACATAATATATTAAAGGTTCTACAAGAAGACAGTGTTCTTCTGGTACTAAACCTATTGCCAAAGTTTTATTTACAAGGCACCATGAAACCCTCTTTGAAGTTTAACTTCCAGTTCAGTTTTCTTTAAGGTTAACCATTACTCTTGAATGTGTTATTTCTTCCTGCAGTATTTGTACTTTAATTTAATATCCTTATAATCAACAATTGCATACATGTTATACTGCTGTATCTCAAGAGTCTTCCATCTCATAGCTGCATTGCATTGTACTTTGTTATGTATTACTTCTCATGATTTTTCTGTAATGCTGAAAATTGAAAAAAACCCTGAACAACAGGAAGTCCAGTCTCTTTGGGAGGGCAAGGCAGGCCTTAACTCTCCTGGTTCCCCTGGACTTGGAGGCAGGGGGAAGTTAAAGCATCCCCCTTCTTTTCTCAATTCTGTATCTTCAATCAGTTGTACTGTTCATTTGCGGCTAACAAAAATCCCTATAGGCCACTAAAAATATCATCTATATCAAGCACCATAATTTCTCTTTCCATTTTGTCTTGTTTGTCAGTGGGAGCTGGGACAATCTGGTACTGAGAGTACAGAAGCAGAGCAGACAGATTGCAGTATCATGTTAAAAGATCTTTCTCCTCTGATGGTTCTTTGCGCTTCCTCATCTGAAGCAGCAGCATCATTTTCACAAGACTTAGCACAAGATTGTTCACACTAAATTTTAATCTATAAGAGACCAGACAAGACTACCGAGGAGAGACTGCTACTGCAACCATCCAAATTTTTGCTGGGGACAGGAAGAAAAGAGTAAGAGAGAGCAGTTCACAATATCCTGACCTATACAGGAAAAAGAGAAAAATACTTCACCCACATCTCAGTCCCAGGATTTTTCATTCCTTAAAGCGGTAAATTAGTTTGCAAAAAGAATGTGAATTCTTTTTCCCACTTCTTTGACCCATTTATTAACCATACCCAGCCAAGGCACCAGCACACCATCCTTTCTATTACAAGCATGAGGTAAGGAGACAAAAATTAGTGTAGGAAAAAACAGTGGAGAAGTATGATTAAAGTTCCTTACCCCTGCTTTATCACTGGGAGAATGGGAGGACTGCTAGGTCTTGCAAAACTTTATGTCTGAATTTTGACTTACAGGCTTAAGTAACCAAGTAAGAAAAAAATTACTTACCTAGGACTGAGAAATCTCAAGACTGGGAGAGACCTCACGAAGGACAGAAAGTTGAGAGGTCTGGCTATAAGATAGCAATAACAGGACCCAGTGAAAAATATAGGTCTTCCCTCTGTGTATTTTTGGAATTTTATGCACAATTTTAACACCTGCTCAAGAACTAATTTTTATTACCTAATCATCTATGTCCATGGCATGTCCAGAAGAGTGGCACGGTTAGTGTTTGGATATGCTAATCTGACTGAGGTTTAGGACATTCTCTTTCATCATCCAAAACCAAATTTTCCTCCATTTCTTATAAATGCCATTCCACCCTGGCACAGTGTCATAGTGACATCCTGGGGTAAGAGTCAAAGACTCATTTTAACCCACCAGTGTTGTTAGCTCACCAGCCTAAATGCTTGCTTCGGGGCAACCTGAGACTGCCTTCCTGCTTGAATCACTTCCATGACACCTCCAAACTCTGGGAAAGGAGCTTAGGTTTCCCAAACAGCAAGGCAGAAGGGCCAAGTTTGTACAAGTTGAAGATTGAAAAAAGTACAGAAGATCTAAACATTTACCTTTGCAAGCAGTTCATGGAGCTCTGCCTCAGTTGGGAAGCAACCCAGTGACCTGACAATTGGACCAACCTCTCTGAAAAAAGAAGGGAGAGGCAGAGGGAGAGGGAGAGGGAGAGGGAGAGGGAGAGGGAGAGGGAGAGGGAGAGGGAGAGGGAGAGGGAGAGGGAGAGGGAGAGGGAGAGGGAGAGGGAGAGGAGAGAAAAAGAACATCTTTGTCAGTACATCTGCAATACAAGAGTGCCTGTAGAGAATCCAGAAACCAATTCAGAGCTTGCTGTTGTGGTTTAAACCTGTCAGGCAGCCAAACACCACACAGCTGCTCACTCACCCTCCCCCAACCCGGGGAATGAGGGAACTGGGGGGTGTAAAGCCAAGGGGACTCGCAGGTTGAGATAAAAGCAATTTCATAATTGAAGTAAAATAAAATTAAAATAATAATGATGATAATAATAGTAATAGTAGAAAATACAAACGAGTAACGCACACTGAGATTGCTCCCTACCCGCCGACTGATGCCCAGCCCATTCCCAGCTAGCAATCCCAGAGAAGCGAGAATCCCAAAACCACAATCCCAGAAGCGAGAGCGAGCTTCCTGGCCACCCCTTGTCTATATCCTGAGCCTGACACTATATGATGTGGAATATTCCATTGGCCAGGCTGGGTCTATTGCTCTCGCCGTGCTCCCCTCCCCCCAGCTTTTTGTGTACCTGCGCACAGGCAGGACATGAGAAGTTGAATAATCCTTGATTTCTTAGCAACAGCTGAAAACATCAGTGCATTATCAACATTCTCCTCATAACAAACCCCATACGGAATCCAAACCACAGCACTAGTCTAGCTACTAAGAAGAAAAAACTAGTTCTATCTAAGCTGAAACCAGAACAGTATCCACTCCTTACTCCATACCATTTACGCTATGCTCAGGTTCTGTGTTTTCTAATATATTCTAATTAATCACCATCACTTTTCCTGTTTTTTGATATAAACACAGGTATCATTCTCTTCGTCTATGGGCCATCCCTCCAAAATGTGTATGGAGTTAATTTAGTCCTTAACTTTGGGTTCCATCTGTCATGACAGTCTTTCAAGGCAGGAGGGATGCGGTAGAGTTAGCTCAGTTGGTGGAGTGGGTGTCCCTGGATGCAGCAGGAGGATGATGTGTAGTCTCTGTTGTATGCTACATTTGGAGCTCACAGCTGGTGTATCTGGCATGGTCCATGCTCACACTCTGCGCGTTGAAGATGTCAGTCTCGAGGAAGTTGCTGGGTGCCAGTTGCTGAAACCAGTCCTGACCTCATCAAAGTTCCTTTTTCATTAACCTGGGTGATTCTTAATATAATGCCATTAATATAATAAATATCAATCATAGAGATGGTGATATGCAATGACAGGGTTATTTAGCAATTATCATACAATTCATCAGCTATTTTCACCCAAAATCAAATCTCCTTGAGGCACACATAGGACTTCGCCATCCTTCTGCATTACGCACCAAGTGCACCCAGGTCCTTGGGCAAAAGTAATTCCACAAATGGGTTTACCTTTACCCATGGTAGGAATAACCCAGACTGTCTTTCTTGGCATGTTTTTAATGTGCAGATGGGGACTTTATCCCCATCTTGCAGTATGTAAAAGGTTTGACTGGGAAGGGCCAGCTTGATTGGCAGATCCCCTAGTGTTGACTAACCAGGTGGCTTTTGCTAAATGTGTATCCCAATATTTGAAAGTTTCACCACCCATTGCTCTCAGTGTAGTTTTTAGCAACCCATCATATCGCTCAATTTTCCCAGAGGCTGGTGCATGGTAGGGGATGCGATATACCCATTCAGTGCCATATTCTTTGGCCCAAGTGTCTATTTCAGAAGTGAGTCCCATTATCTGTCTCAATTCTTTCTGGGGTGTCATGTCACCATGAGAATTGCTTTTCAAGGCCCAGGACAGTGGTCTGGGTGGTGGCATGGGGCACAGCTTTTGTGGGAGTGTGATGTAATCAATTTGCCAAGCCACTCCATATGAATATTTCAACCACCATCCTCCATACCAAAGAGGTTTTAAACATTTGGCTTGCTTGATTGCAGCGCATGTTTCACATTCATAGATAACTTGTGCAATAGTGTCCATGGTCAAGTCCACCCCTCGATCATGAGACCATCTATATGTTGCATCCCTTCCTTGATGGCCTGAGAAGTCATGGGCCCAGCCATCCATATATTTTCCACCCTTATGCTGCCAATCCAGATCCGCTTGAGCAACATTAATCTTAGCAGCTTGATCCACCTGTTGGTTGTTTTGGTGTTCTTCAGCGGCCCAACTCTTGCATACATGAGCATCTACATGACATATTTTCACAGCCAGGTTCTCTACCCCAGCAATAATATCTTGCCAAAATTCATCAGCCCAGATGGGTTTGCCTCTGTGCTGCCAGTTGCTCTGTTTCCATTGCTGCAACACCCCCACAGGGCGCTTACCACCATCCATGAGTCAGTGTAGAGATAGAGCACTGGCCAGTTTTCCTGTTCAGCAATATCTAAGGCCAGCTGCATGGCTTTCACTCTGTAAACTGTCTCGATTCATCTTCTCCTTCAGCAGCTTCTGCAATTCATCATGTGGAGCGGCACACAGCAGCCTTCCACCTTCGATGCTTTCCTACAACAGGACTCATTAGTAAACCAGGCATGTTGGTTCTCATTAACTGATAGTCTATTATATGGTGGGGCCTCTTCAGCATGTGTCACCTCTTCCTCTGGCAAAGTTCCAAAAGCTTTGCCTTCTGGACAATTTGTGATTACTTCCAATATTCCTGGGCAAGGGAGACTGGGGTTTCCTCTTCGAGCCCGTTGTGTGATCAGTGTGACTCTCTTACTCCGCATGACATCAGTTGCACGGTGTGTAGAGGGGACCTTCCCTTTGAACACCCAGCCCAGCACTGGCAGTAAGGGTGTCAGGAGGAGCTGTGCTTCAGTGCCAACCACTTCCAAAGCAGCTTGAACTCCTCCATATGTTGCCAATATCACCTTTTCAGTTGGAGTATAGCAGGCTTCAGATCCTCTATATCTCTGACTCCAAAACCCTATGGGCTGAACTTGTGTGTCCCCTGGTACTTTTTGCTAAAGACTCCAGGTAGGGCCATTCTCCCCAGCCGCAGTGTAGAGCACATTTCTAACATCTTGTCCTGGGCTACTGCCTGAAAAAATTCCCGTTTAATTTGCTCAAATGATTGTTGTTGCTCAGGACTCCATTTAAAACCATTCTTCTTCTGGGTCATTTGTTAGACACGGCTTACAATCAAACTATAATTTGGGATATGCATTCTCCAACAACTCACAATGCCTAAGAAAGCTCGTGTTTCCTTTTTGCTAGCTGAAAGAGACACAGCTGCTATTTTGTTGATCATATCCATTGGGATCTGACGACGTCCATCTTCCCATTTCATTCCTAAAAAGTGGATCTCCTGTGCAGGTCCCTTAACCTTACTTTGTTTTATGGCAAAACTGGCTTTCAGAAGGATTTGGATTATTTTTTTCATTTTCATAAACATTTCTTCTGCTGTGTTGCCCCATACGATGATGTCATCAATGTATTGCTGCTGATCCAGAGCTTCACTCTTTTCCAGTGCAGTCTGGATCAGTACAGGGATGGATACTGTCCTGGTTTTGGCTGGTATGGAGCTATTTTTTTCTTCTTAATAGCTAGACTAGTGCTGTGTTTTGGATTCCGTATGGGATTTGTTATGAGAAGAATGTTGATAATGCACTGATGTTTTCAGCTGTTGCTAAGAAATCAAGGACTTTTCAACTTCCCATGTCCTGCCTGTGCACAGGTACACAAGAAGCTGGGAGTACAGGAGTGTGCATGTAGAAGCACACAAACACACACAAGCATATGTATGTGGACTTTTAAGATGATGTCTTAGTAAGTAGTGTCTATTTTTACAGACATTAAATACTCTGGAGCTTTTTGGAAGAGTGTATTTGTTCTTGTGACTTTCCCAAAATATTTTTCTTTACCATTGTGTTGCAGTGTATTATGTGCAGGTTACCTTTCAGCTGCTGTCCTCTAATTGTTAAGCTTAATTTCAGTAAAGTCTACATTTATATAGTTAATAAAACAGTTGGAATCCTACTGAGATGAAAGGTAACAAATAAAATATATGTTTACATTAAATGCTATAAAGATACAAATTCTAACTGCAGTAAAGAACAATTACAAAAGGTCAGGAAGGAGGCAGCCCTGCTATGCCCCTGCTGTGCTCTAAAAGAGTCAAACAGACCAACAAAGTGGCTTATCACCACCCTGTTTATGCTGCAAATTATCTTCATAGCTTGCATTTACTGCTGAACCTGGTGCAGTTGTTCTGAGAGTCTAAATAAAATTCTGACCAAACTGGCAACGCCTCAAAAAAGTTTAAGATGAACAACATAACACACTAGAAACAGAAGTACTGTAAAGCTGTAAGAAAGAGTACTAATGAGACTTATGGTGTGACTGAAAACAAAGTAACAGAAGCATCAATATTGCTTGTGATTTTCAGTCAAACTCTACAACACAGAAATTCAAGCACATTTGAGTAAGTATCCACAGTGTTGGTGGTTCCCATGATTCAAACCTCTGTGGTTTCTTTGTCTTCACCAGTACATTTGGTAGAAAAATTCAGTTGCCTAATAAAAATGGCCAATATAAGAAGCAATGACCTTTGTAAAATCATCTTACAACAGTAAGGCCCCAAATGTGGCACACTAAGCATGCATAAAATTAGATGGGTCAGTATTTGGACTCCTTAGACAGGTCCTGAGGAGCTTCCATTCTCATTGAAAACATGTGAGAAACACTACAATAGACACAAGAGAGGAGAAGGCTGGCAGCACAAAAATAGTTACAAAACAAAACCCAATCCCATACATACAGTTGTTATGAAACGAAGCCATCTGCTCAAATGACTCAGTGAAACCTTGCCCCCCGTGGACATGAATGGAAGTTTGGTCATTGGCCTCAATGAGGTCAGACATTTCGTCCTGTATTTTATAATCCTTGTCCCAGGCATCCTATTTCTAGCACGTGCTGTATGTGATACTCTCACTCCTGCACTCCCTCATCTTTTCTAGCTCAAAGATACTTGGAAATATTCTCTGCCTCCCCTCGGAGAGACACCCAACCCAAATCATGCCTCCTTTCTACCCCACACTAATTCTACACTTTCAGACTGCCAGAGATGGGAAGGTTGCCATCATCTCCTGCCTCACCTCACACTCAGTGAAACTGCAATGTGACAAAGGTAAGCCAGGGCCTGAAAAAATTTGCAAAATCTGGCATTGCTGGCTGCTGCTTCTGACAGTCTATGCGTGTGCCAGCATGAGGGTGTTGTCTGAAGTGTCTGTGGTCAAAAAAAGCCATGTCACATTTGGTAATAACATGGTGTTTAAAGGACCCAGTTAGGAAATTGTATTCTCTTCCCAGTCACTTGCTCTCACTAAGCTCAGCAGCTTCAGTTTCTGCTGTGAAGTTTCTAGTGTACAAAAATTATGGTTACAATGAGTTTATGTTCATACAGGTCTTGTAACAGTCACAATAAAATTTTGGGCCATAGTTGCCACCCAACATATAACACTTACAATTACAAGATTTGCAAAATTATGAAAGCCCTTGACTCAGGGTGTGTTGTAAGCAGCATCAAACAATACCATCTTCCTCATGCTTATTTTCTTACTAACTCATATTTGCATTAGGAGTCATGCAATACTGATGCTGGCCCATCAAGCCAGAGTAATTTTCCATATTCTTCACAGGAATCTGATACTTCAGGCAGTAACACTCATACGTGTACAATTGTGGTTAAGAATTGTGCTGTACTGCCACCTTCTGATACAAGATAATCAGCCATTAATAATACCATTATTGTGATACAGCCCTGCAATATGAACCTAGGAATAATTAGACAGTAAATTGTTATTCATTACCAGTAACTGTACTGTGACAACAATTAATGTGAAATTGTGCATTTATTATGTTAAATAGATTTTTGAATGCCCCCTCTCACATGTTATGACTTACTGTCGGAATCAATACATTTTTTAAAAAGTCTATTTGCATCATTTCGTTGTTGTAACACTTTCTCAAGCTCTGTACCCATTATATAATAGAGGGAGTAGCAAATTTTACAGATACATGGCCAGGACTGCAGGTGTAAATGACAGCTAAGCAGCTAGTACGTCCTGGTGCAGTGAGGGGTGGGGGCTCGGCAGGGCCGGAGGGTGGTAGTGCCAGGGGCTCCCCTCGGGGTCCGGCAGGGCAGGGCCCGTCCCACCGCCCCAGCCAGGAGCGGGGCAGCCGGGGGGCACCGGGGCAGCCCCAGCCCCGGGTATCCGGCAGCTCCCTGGGGACGGGGTCGGGCAGAGGCAAGCGAGAACTCTTCCCAAAGAGCCAGAAGGGTGAGGGAGCGGCACCTGCACCGAGTGCGGAGGCAGACCCTGAAATTCCCCCTATGCAGTGTAACTGAAAAACCATTTCACTTCTATGAAGTACCCATAATTTCTTAAGTTTAGAGGCACCAGTAAGCGTGCATTGCTAAAACCATCACATAAATGTTTTGCATCTCTCTCGCCTGTGTCATAATGTAGAAAAGATGTTTGGAACGTTTAAAGATGCTTTCCGATTTGGCTTAATGAGGAATGTTTAATGACAACAATTTCACCAGTTCTCACGCTCCTTTGTAGCGTTTATACTCAATAATTGAACTATAATTAAAGCTCTGGCGATATCCTTGTGAAAACAGTAATTGGAAATATGAAAAATTACTTCAGTAAACTTTAATGACAACAGATCATAACAACTTCAGAACCTGCTCAGTGAGACATAAACATGTGGTTTACGGATTTTATAACAAAAGCTATATTGTTATGTGTATGGATGTTTATGTTAAAATGAAATTAATGTTGCACTGTCAAATACTCAAACTTTTAAAATACCAGAATTAAGTTTATTTAGAAAATTTTAAATTTTTCATCATTTATTTCTGTATTTTGTAGCCAGTTATGATCAGTCTAACAGTCCATGTTTTTGTCTTCCACTGAACTTTTTCTTACTCCCTCAGACAGATATTTTGTTTGTATTTCCATAACATTGCACACTAAAGGTATAATGCATGCAGTTCTCCCTCCTGACTTCCATTTGTGTATCCCACTCCCCCAGTTCTGGTCATGTTATTTCAAAAAGGAAAAAGCTGAACAAGAAGAGCACAAAAAAAGAATGGCCAGAGTTGTGGAACAGCATCTCCTAAATGATTAAACACATCCAGACTCTTCAGCCATAGACTACTACAAGGGAGGACAGATGTGGCAGATAGCTATGAAATCACCAGTGGTGTTGAGAAGATTTAATAGAGAACAATTGTTTGCTCTTCATCATAAGACAAAAAAAAAAAAAAAACACACCACACACAAAAACAGGCACCACAAATCATAATGTAGCAGATGTACAAAAAACAATAACAAATACTGTGTATTTACCCAATTCCTTATATTCCTCCCCCAGGTAACTACTAGTAGCTCAGATGAGGTTACTGGGCTAAACAGAATTTTGGTGTAATCAAGTATGATCTTCTTTATATTCATTATAATATTATTAGTAGTGCAGTAGTAGTAGTAAAATTACACAATCAAATCATATGCAAGTTTCTCCCAAGTCTCCTAAAAACACCTCCCTGTCAGAGCAATATCCAGGTCCCACATTAGCGCAGAGGAAGAATTCCTGTCTAGCTACAGTTTCTTCTTGCCTCTTTATTCCACCAGTCCCAGAATCAGTCTCTCAACCCAGCTTCAGTCTTCAACCACTGAACAATGCAAAATGTCTATTAAACAAGCAAAGACATAATTGTCCAATCAGGGCCAAAATTACTCTTTCAATTGCCTTTTCTGGTAAAGCAGAGGAAGGTTTAGGGAGTTTTATCTCTATAGTAGGTCCTGTAGTATTTCTATGTGAAGATATTTACAAACCTGACATCCACAGTTTTATCGCATTCATGGTCAAACACCTCAAAAGCTTCTATAATCTTTTTCTCAATTTCAGCTACTGTGCCATCTGCAAAAGGAAACATAAGAAAATAAAAACAAAGATTTACCTAGCTGTTGCAACTGATTTATTTCCAATTTGAGAACTGTGACAGCAGAAGCACCAAACTGATAAAGGGGCAGACAGAAAGGTACTTTGAAAAAGCGGAAGTTATTCCGCAAAAAAACCCACTCTAAATGCAGGATCTGTAATTTATATTAGTAACATGGCCTTGCTATGGCTCTGCAGCTACGTCAGGTCACAGTGCGTCTCAACTGCGTGATGCCCAGCTGTCAGGTGTGGCCCCTGCCCAGAGCATGTCACATCTCCTCCTGGATGCCATGGTGCCAGTGGAAGGAGCAACACGAACCTGGACCCAGGCTTGCACAGGCTCATCCAGGTTCCTGCATCCAAGGAAATGTAAGTGCTCTCATGCCCACTACGGTGGCCATCATGTATGAAAAGCTGAGAACCCGGAATAAAGAGATGGTTGAGACACATGTACAGTGAGTATGTCTCATGGTAAATAATTTATTGTAACAGTTGGGAAATGAAGACAGTCTCAGCAAAGGTGAAGATGCAGTTCACTGCATTTGATTTTTGTACCTCAATCTCATAGAGTGGGGAAAGAAGAACCACGCGTTATCACATTTATATCTTGTCTAAAGACAGAAAATGCATTCTTGGGGTAAGGGAAGTACCAGGAAATAAATTCTGAAGATAAAAATGTAAAGAGAGGAAGGGGTCCATCTCAAAAAAGAGCACCCTGGCAAGAAAACCAGGGTAAAGAGTGAACTGGTTAGCCCATTTCTTAATGTCATAGTTTGACTTCAAAAGGCACAATGTAGGAAGCAGTGATATGGAGTTGACCTTTTCGTTCCTGTGGCTAAATACAGCCCCAAACTCCAGCTGGCAAACCAACCCTCAGGAGGAAGCATTTGGTGAGCTAGCCCCACAGCTTCCACAGAGGCCTCCAAAGAGAAAAACTGAGTGACAGCCAGAATATGGCTGTCTCTTCTGAATTCTCAACATAATAATAAAACATAACTCTTCTCTATCAGATTTATTTTATTCTTTAAGCCCATCTGGTATTAAAAGCATTGTTGATCAGCTCTGACCAGCACTAAACTACTGGACATTGTTTCCACTGACAAAAGACATCCATACATACTTTTCTAAAATCCCCAAATTTTGAGAATTCCTGGGGCTCCAGTCTACAACAGTTTTTATCATTTGCTCTCTTGCCCCCATGACAGAAATGTCTGTCTTCTGGCAATGGGTACCAGACCTGATCCTGGCTAGAAAATCCATTGGCTTTGTGACCTCCCTGGTTTTATCTTGTCCCATGGGCGTTTTCATCGTATTTTCTCCCCTTGTGCTGCTGAGGAAGGCAGAGTGGCCTGGTGGGTGCCTGGCAACTGCCCAAGGTCAACCCATCACAGGCTGCAAGCACTTCAATACAGCAGTGGACCAACCCAGGTGTAAGAAAGCTCTTTTTCATATAAAAGAGAGGTGCATCCCCTTATAAAGGTACAGGCGCCTGCTGCTTTCTGTCTGTGTTTGGTACTGAACTCCCCCAGAGGATACGTAAAGAGAGGAGAGGTAGGAATATATTCTGTATTCCTCTCTCTGACTTTACTCCTCTGATGGAAGCATGGGCAGGTACATGTACGATGGATTGGAGACTGGAGCTCACTGTGGAAGAAAAGTCCTGCTGAGACCCCAGATACAAGGCAAGCTGTGTTTTTTTCATAGCTTGACAATAAACCTTGCCTTTTATGTACCTAAGCAATACAAACCACATTTAATTCCTTTCCAAAAAGCATAGTTAAATCTAAATGGACCTCATTCCTTGCAGAAGGGGCCCTAAAGATTTACTCTTAAACTACTAAATTTGATGAGAGTTTTTTTCAGTGACTTCAAAGAATTCTGGATCCAGTCTCCAGTGTAGACTGCTGGAGTTCAATTCTTGAGATCAGGCACTTCAGTTGTACACTATGTCTTGCAACAGAGAAATGCTGAAGGATTATTTATAGCTGTATATTCTTGGCTTGATGAGTGAGCCTTCTGTAGAAAAAAAAAAAAATTAACCAGGGGGAGGCAGGGAAACATTTCCAGTACTGGAACTATGTAGCCATCCAGCCTTTTCAGGCTTTGCCTTTCATGAAAATAGTACACATTAATCTTCCCTGTTTCAAGAGGACCGGCAAAGATCCTGAAATGAAATCAATTTGATGATCTAATCTAGGTACCAAATAATCCATATTTCTTCCAAGAACTGAGAGGAAGCTGTGATTAAGAGCCATATCCATGGAAGAAAATATAATATACTGTAGTCATCTAAAAGACTGTGTGAGATGAGTGAACACCTAATAATCTATTGCCTAAATCTCCTGTTGTCTCTGATGAAAGCCAAGATGTTCAACATAGTTCAGGATGGCAAAGCTAGTTATCTGAAGGCTTCTATGATTCACTCTAAACCTCGTTTTGGGAGGGAGAAATAGATGGATTCCAGCTCCAGGATAAGTAATGGATAAAGGTTTAAAATTATCCCTTCAAGAAGGACATCAGGAGATCGGACATGCAGTTAACTCAGCAGATCTGATGCTCTAATGTACTGAAATCTTTCTGCACAGGGATACTCTGCTCCACGTGTATATCAATGAAAGCTTCACGTTGCCCTGTGGAGCAATTTTTTAGCAGTTTTCAGGACAGAAATACCTACACTCTGATTGAATAAAAGATTTCACCTACTTATGCTACTGACTTGAAAAACAATACATAATACCAAAGATAAAATTATCTGATTACTTCTAATGGCTTAAATAAATGAATATTGAAACACACCATGCCAAAAAAGATTCTAATACCTACAACTACTTACTCCCTCAAATGCATCCTGTAAGGATGATATACTGTTTCCATTTTTATGCTGCTAAAAGGCTTCAGATACTTGTAGGATTTTTCTTATCTTCTTGTAACTTATTTCCAGCACATAAGCAGCAAGAAGACAAAATGTCTTAAAATCCATTCCTCAGAGACATTAACTGAAAAGTGTGTTCACTATCCATTTCCTTTCCTGTACTATCCTTTGCTATTTTCCCAGTTTGTTTAGCATGAACTAGATAAAGCTCTAGACGCTGACAGTTAAGTAAGACTGGCAGGGAGCTGGGAGTCCCAGATTAATTCTGCTGGTTCTTTCAGACTGAATTGTTCCTCTTCAGATTGTCCAGACTGCTCCCCGGCACTCTGAGGCCCATTTGAAGCCAGCCCTTAAGCAGCACACCTGCCTCGGTTGTGACATTTCTTCTTCAAAGACCACAGCTTCAGTCTTTGTAGGGAACAGAAGCAATTAAATAGATGTGGCTCTGCCAGACTCTCGAGTAATGAGCATTTTTAAAAGTGGTTTCTAGTTGATACAATTTGCTAGATTCTACCATTCGTTTAACTGTATGGGCTTGCTTTCTTTTCTTCCTTGGGGCCAGTTGCTCTGATGGTTCAAAAAGCCATCCCTTCCTTTCACTGAAGAGAAATTATGTGCGGAAAAATGAGGTATCAAAAGAACAGGTAGGCCAACATTAAACAACCACCTAAAATGCTGGGGAGCAGCATCTGTCTGCTGCTCACAGGAAAAGATCTAGTCCCATTCCAGCCTCAAGAATCTATTTACACAATGTGATACTCTGAATCTCTTTTTGTGCTTTGTAAAGAGTAAAATTAAGGGCTGATTTTTAGAAGCACCAGTGGACTTGATTTTTTTACTTAGTGTTACTGCTCAACACACCCGAAATATTAATCTTTATAAACATTAATCTAGGTATATTTTAATAAATATAGCCGATTTTATATTTAAACTCCTATATGCACGTGGACACCTCATTAATTACTCCATCCTCTCTTCATGATACTATGTTATGGTAACAAGCAGGTGTGAGGAAAGCCCCGAGGTCTCCGGTGACAGGAACCCTTTCTCACATGGGGCTGCCTTGCTGAACTGGTCAGTCTGAAAGGACAAGGGACACAACTGGGTAACCCCAACTCAGTGACAGACAGTTTTAGAGTCATTTACATGCTTTTGTTCCAGTTTTGTTTAAAAGTGCTGTTATCAACAGCTCTTTTGTAGACCTCCCCACCCACTAACCAGGGCTTATCAGCAGGAAGTACAGAACAGTCTCTGTGGCTACATACTCCAGCACCATTTCTTCTCCTTCCCACCAGCCATTATTTCAACCAAAAAAGTAGGCAGCAACCTTGGTCCTATCTAGATGAAAAACTGGGAATGGGGTGCATGAAGAAGACTTCCATGAAGAAAAACGAACATTTTTAAGAAGGCAATGGACACAAGAGGGGGGATGACTGTGCAGGCAGCCACATGAGAAAATGTGAGTCTTAAAGCCCCCTGCAATCTCCACTTGACTTCACTGAACCTTCTCTTTCTGCTCACAGATCCAAGTTACGGTATTTAACCACCCTCCCACACTGCTCCAGCACTCTTCCATAAGGCCCCTATGACTACCCTGTGCAAATCCTAGTTCTTCCCGTCATCTGCAAAATCACAGGCAACGTTCTCTGTCTTGCCACACAATGCCAATCAAAACAGAGAGGTGAGCAGGTGGTTGAGCTACGGGGAATATCTGAGCCAGCCAGAGGTGGAAAAGGTACGAAAGAGTAAGTGTGAAGTCCCTGCTTAAAAATGGAGCCTACTGCATGGACAAACAAAAAAGGTTTGACCAACAAGCAGAAATAGCTAAACAGATCTTACTCCTTACAGCTTTAATATGTACTTAAAATCCTAGAAATGTGCCAAGATGCAGGAACAGTTCCCCAGTAAGAGAGGAGTAAGGGAGACTGCTGCTATTCCTGAAGAACACCATGTTCCCTTTCAGGGCGAATCCCAATTTATTATCTAGGTGTACAAGGCAAAAGGATGAAAGATATGAACTAAAAAGCAAAAGAGATTTGTCTTTGATGTTTGCAACCACTGGTTCATCTGACCTTTTCTAAAATCCTTCACAAAATCAGTAATGGAA